ATACCTGGCCTTAACCCATATTGGATCCTTCCTTGGCCTCTCGGTCCACATACCAGTAATTAAAGGTTTATTCAGGTCAACTAAGACCCTTGCCCTCAAAAAATTCCTCACCAGCAAACCATTTCTTCTCGGAACCTCTATCATAACAACCTCACTAATCATTGAACTCAAATTCACTGCATTTTCCTCATCCATTGCCTCTAAAGGTAAATCATGAAATTGAATCCAAAAAGGTGATGAACTGAAATTAACTTCCCTATACACCATATAATCTTGCCAGATCTGAATGTTTAGTAACATACCTTGAATCGACCAAGGTCTGCCTTGCAAAATCCTCATATAGTCCTCTCTTCTACGGAATTCAAAGATAAAAGCATGAGAATCCACATCAATAACTCCCAGATCTTCGTTCTTTAAAGATTCCATCCCTCTCAAACCATCTGAATTGTAGTGCCTCGATTCAGACTTTTCTCTGTCATCAATTTGCCCGCTAGAGCCCCGCCATTTACCTTTCTTTGAGCACTTTCCTTCCACACGATATTAGCCCGCAGACCAGATGTCGCCCTCCGATCTTCCTCGAAATCTCTCCTATCCACCACACCTCCAGACACCAGAACCTCACAGCTATACTTTCTTAGTGTACGAAAGAATAGCCCCCTCTATTTCCTCCGCCGCAGCGGGCGACGAAGTTCGCACTCTCGAAGCACCGGTGAGAACCACCGTAACCAACTCTCACCAGGGAGAGAGAGGGCTTTCACGTGGAGAGAGAATAGCATAGTCCATCCCACACTGCTGACAAAATATGTGCCTGCGATGGTCAGCAAACGGTGGCCCCATGCTATTTCGCCTGACCAATCTCTAAACGGATTCAGTAATGCAAATGAGATTTGTGGTCCCAACAAGCAAAGTAGACCACTGCTTTTGGGGGGAGGGGGGGGGGAACAAAAGTAGACTACTCCATTTGAAACCTCCTTTCTTGCTTTTTACCTTTTAGTCTTCTGTATTTAAAGGATCTAATTAACGTTTTCCGCAATTCTCTTCACCCTTAAATTGATTAGTACATGAGAAGCTTTAATTGATAAAGGGATACTATAAAACTGTGAAACACATAAAGAAAATTTAAGAAAAACCACATTTAGTATTTTTATGGTCAAAATATACGTTTAGTTTTTTAAGTTTATATCAAGTTTCATTTTAATTTTTTAAATTTAGGGATAATTAATCCACAGCTCCTTATAGTTTTAACTAATTTTGAATCAGGTCCTTATAGTTTTTTTTCTTTTTATCAGGTCCTTATACTTTCATCTGTTTTTAATTAGGTCCTTGTATTTATTTTTCTTTTTATCAAGTCCTTATAAGTTCACTTTATTTTTAATTAAGTCCCTGAATTTTTTATTCTTTATTTTATAAATTCTAATAGTACTGTTATATAAACATAAAATAATATATATTATTTAATATTAGTTTATAAAAAATAATATTCTAAAGATATTGAATTATTATAATGATTTTAATTTTTCAGCAAAAAAATTAAATGTTTTAAAAAAATTTCTTGAATTAATTAATTCTATTACTCTTTTATTACATAATTATTAATTTAATTTAATTATTAATATTTTATATTTCAGTATTAATCTATTTAATTAAGCTTATATTTAATTAATAAATAAAAATTAAAACTACGTGGACCTGATTAAAATTTAGTGAAATTATAAGGACTTAATTAAAAGAAAAATAAATACAAGGACCTAATTAAAAAAAAAGTATAAGGACCTAATATAAAGGAAAAAAACTATAGAGACCTGATTTAAAATTCGTTGAAACTATAAGGACTTGTGGATTAATTAACCCTTAAATTTAAACTATCTCTTTATAGTCCCCCAAAGTTAGCATCATTACCCTCACGGCTCACTGATGAATAATGATAACTCACTACTTTTAAAATGATGGCTCATTATTTAAATGCTGTCATATTAATTTTCAATTAAAAATATTTAAGATAAAACCTCATTTTTATCAAAAAAAAATTGTACGAATTTTAATAATTATGAAATAAACAATTTTTACCTTACCGTGAGAGCCACATGTTCTTCGATATTTCTCTCCCTTCAATCCTCACACTATTTGCAGAAAGCTGAAGCTTAAGTTGGGGTGGACTTTTTGGTGTGTACGAAGTCATTGCGTTCAAATTGATCTCATGATGATGATGATGATGAAGAACAAGATTATTAATATATATATATATATATATATATATATATAAAAGACTATTAAACAACCAAGTTCAAATAGACATGTCTGAAATTTTTTTTTTGAAATTTCCTAAAATTATCAATCCTATGTTATGAGAAGCTTAAAATAATAGATTAATTTTGGTGAAACTGTTGGCTCGCTAATATATATATATATATATATATATAACTATATATAGGCCAAAGCTAATATATATATTTTTTAAAGCTTACTAAATGATACTACTGGTACTAATTATAAGAACCAGTTGACTAATTTGAAGAGATTAAGAAAGTAAGTTGAGTTAGTTATTTGTCCTAAATAGGTGTTGTCTTTCCTAAAATATCCTTGCTAATCAAGTATATTAACTAAAACTATCATTGTTAGAAGGGTTACTTTGGAAAAAAATATATAAATATGAGAGACAAAGTAGATTGGGTCTTATATTTAGGATCAAAATAAAAGTTAAAAAGAATCTTATATTAAGAACCGGAGGTAGTATTTTTGTTAGGTAGGGTTGTGACTAGTGAGTTACATGACTTACCCCTTATTAAGGGGCAAGGTGGATCACAATTAAATTGGAAAATGACAAAAAAAAAAAAAGAGGTATGAAATTGTAAATTCCCAATTCAAGAAGTTAAGGGTTGAAAATAACTGAGACAAAAGTAAACATTTTGAAATTCAAAGAAAATATTCCTCTGGTTCTAAATATGAGATTCTTTTTGTAATGTAAATTACACTACAAAAGGAGTTTTATATTTAGAATCAGAAGAGTAACAAAAATGTCTATTTGTTTTTTTCCCCCAGAAAATTCAACCCCTTAGTAGAGATCACCATCAGCAATAGGCCACTGACACCACACTGGCCACTAGCATGATGGTTGCTGGTAGGGTTCCCCCCTTTTCTAGCAGCAACTTTTTTTTGCCATGGTCATTTGAGCCAACCAAAAAAATGGGTGACTATTAGGCCTCTAATGATTTCTTAACATTATAAGGCAATATATATATATATAAGTCAACTCTTTTACTCTGGCTCCATCTCATCACAATAATTTATCTATGAAGTATAAGTCTTAATTGTAAAATAATAAGTCTAAACTTGATATTAACAAAGCATTTTTTTCCTAATACGTAATATGAAATAATATGTAAATTAATTAAAAAGGACAATAATTTATCTGAGAAACTATTATAATATTGAAATTGATACATAACTTGAGATTCTTTTTGCATTATAATATTAATAAACCATTGGTGGTAGCCTAATAGTTACCTATCTTTTTTATTGGCCCAAATGATCATAGGGTGGTGGGATCAAATCTCACCCCACTACTTTCTTCAAATAATTTCCTATTTCCAGGGGGAAAAAAAAAGACTTGATGCCACCAAAAAAACTGCAAGCAGCCACCACGCTGGTGGCTGTTAAAAAAAATGAAGGGATGTTTTATCATTTTTCTTAAATTTTAAAATTTTAATTTTAATTTACTTTTTTTTATGTCATTTTCAATCCTTAACTTTCTGAATTGGAAATTCACAATTTCGGCTTTTCTCTTTCTTTTCTCAATTAAATTTTAAAATCAGTGTGCATGTTTGAGATAACTTCTGGCTTCAAAAGAAGTTTTGGGCATATTCTTAGAATAGAGATAATTTCTCCATAATTTAGTTTAAGACGAGTACCGAAGTCAGTTACCTTAGTTTCTAAAAAGTAAGCTATATTCATGACTTGCAAATGATTTTTTCAAATTCATCTTCGGAGATTAATGGGCATTATTTCGTCGTTTAAGATCCAAATATTTTTCGAACCAAAAACTTTTATTTTTGTTATCAAACTGCAACCAAAACTTGACAATTGGGTGATTAACTGCGTGGAAGCATATTGTCCATTAAAAAAATTTCATCAAATAGTAATTTTTGTAGTAGTTACATATTAAAAAAAAAGTTTCATCAAACAATAATTCTAAGTTAATATACATGATTAGTAATGGTACTTTAAAAAAATACATATTTATTACAAATAACTAACTTAGATAATTTTTTTTAATTTTACTTAAATTAGTTAACTAGCTCTTATATTAATCATCAGAGTAGTACTTTTTCTATGGAAAGGGAATTTGGTGAACAAGGATTCTTTCTCTTAGGCATCTTTTTTAACCAGAGGAGATGATATTTTCATTAATATAAAAACCAAGACATATACAAGCACGAATAGAGGACCAACAACCAAAAAAGGCCAATAGTAGGATATTTTCATTCTTTCTTTAAAGCATCTAAAAACATATAAAATCTAGCATAATTTTAGGATAAAAACAACGCACAACTTGTACAGAGAGAGACCAATTACTCAGATAATCTTAGAAGATGTTTAAGTACTGCTATTATAGTTTGTCAAATTTATGGATAATTGGTATGTGAGATATTTTATTTTATTATTATTATAAATTATTTAGGTATTTAATTAGGAATTAATAAAATATCCTGAGTGTGGCCCGTGGTCAGGAAAAAGGCCCAAGCCCAGTAGGATTTTTATTTTCATTCAGGATTATATTTCTCTGATGGTGAGAATTTAATTATTAGGTTTCGACGGCTAAAAGTTCACAGAGCGATACATTCCGAAATAGTTAACCCTATCTGCTCCTTGAGGTTCCCTGACTGGTGACGGCTGAACCCAGTTGCCATCACTGTGCCTATGTGCCAGTCAGAAGAGACCTGAATCAATTTCATTCTGACTCTTATCTATCTTGCAGCTCTCAAATTAATTAAGCAATAGCTATGGCGAGAGGTAACCCTAATCTTAAAGTCTTCTGCTGTATGTTTTATAAGAGGATTCATTTTGTATTGTCTGGATTGAATATATTTTATATATGTTATTTTGAATCTGTCTTACACGTGGTATCAGAGTCAGGTTAGGTTTTTCTCTACCTATCTTTGTTTAATTTAATGCGTTTTGTTTTATCTGGAATGACCTGACTTTACATGGAATTTACCGTTGTATATTTTATCAATTCCATATAATCCAGATCAGAGATAACTGAAATCCCATCTATTTTCAAACCGTATTGGTTCTTGTTTTTAATACACGAATGTTTACGGGCTGAATGGGATGGAGGAGAATAATTTTGATTCTCCCATAAACCATCACCACATTCGGATAAATCCGAAGGTCCGTTCAAAAATTCGTTTTTTCATTCAGATTTACGTTGAGTTTGAATTTTTACTGAATCTGTATGTTTTTTGGAGCTTCATTTTCGAATTAATGCAAATGAAGGAGATGAAATTTTTATCTCTCTAATGAATTCGTCGCCGACTCCATTGTTCTTGGAGCTTCGAATCTGTAGTCACCCTTACTTCCTTCATATTCAATGTCCTACTTTGATTTTTGCTCGAAATCTTGATTCAAATATGTTTGAATTCTGTTTGTTACTGTTTTGTGAGAATTTCATGGTCGGAGAGCCTCAAAACAGTGTTATTATTGCCGAAAAATGGCCACTGGTTCGCCAGAAACAATGGCAGAATGTTACAGCATTGGCGGCTGTGAAGCAACCCAGAAACAGGTCACAAATTGAGTCAGGAGTCGGGTTAACCTAACCCGACTCCATGAAGAAGAAGATTCGCTGTCAAAACACTGTTGTTTTGGGTCCTGGAGGCTTTTCTGTTTGCTTAAAAAAAAAAAAAAGGAAGTTGTTCAGCCCATTAGTGAAACGCATAGTTTCACTAATTCATGAATGGTGGGCTAACACATTTTGGGCCCTATTTTGGGTTTCGAAATTGTTTTGTTTATTTTTCTTTAGTTTACGAACTGGGACGGATGAGTTCTGGGCCTTTTAGGCCTCTGTCATTTTTTTGGTGACCAATTTCTAATTTTTAGTTTGTTTTAATGTATTTCTGAATTGGGCCAAAAGTATTGGGCTTCTGCCATTTAGTTTTTTTTTCCAGTCTGGGCCATTTTGTTGAAAAAAAAACGGGGGGATTTTGCACAGTGTTGTAATAGTAATGCTTTTGGGCCTTTATTTGGGTTTTTTGTATAGAATTTTTTCCCCCCTCTACTTATTTTCTGGACTTTCGTTTTAGGCTTGAATATTTGTTTTGTTTCTGGATTGCTTATTTGGGCTCTGTTTGGACTTTAAAGTATGGGCCATTTGGTTTTAATTTTCAGAAAATTATTTTGGGCCATTTAATTTGATTTTCCAGAATCTGTTTATGTTAAATAAACCATTAATTGAAAACTGTTCTATTTATTTAAAAATGGTTTTCACGTGTTATTTATTTTAAGCAAATATTTAAATTGCTTAAATAGAGATATAAAAAAATTGATCTTAGCTATTTCACATTTTGTGTAAATTTGCAAAATTGTTTGTTGTATTGTTTATTTGCCTAAATATTTGGATAATGAATTTAGGCAAATTATTATAATTATTTGAATTTTGCAATATTTATTTTAAGTAGAAATGTGCTGAGGTTAATGTTTAAACAATTGTTTGGATGCATAAAATAGTGGGAGGACTTAATATGATAATTAATTGCTTGTGTTCTCCATTAATATTGTGCATATGTTGGATTAAACATGCTCATTTGATATTTGTGATTAGCATGCTTTCTTAAGGAGTAGCCACAGCATCTTTTATCTGTTGCATGCAACATAAATCACATAATGGACTTATAAAATATCAATTGTAATTAAATATGCATTTATAATTAATCTTTGCCCACAGGTAGATAATTATAAATGTATATTTAATTATGGTGGGATAGAATTGCCTTGTATTTTCTAAGTAGCCCACAGGTATTAGGAAATATAAATGCGTTCTAATTCCATCAATATGAGATAAATACATGTTATGCTAATTTCTTTGCCCACAGGTAGAACTTAGTGATACGTATTTATAATTGTATGCTTTATTAATGTTTTTTAAGCATGCAAGGCACAGTTATTGTGATTGTCTCAACTGATTTGTAAGTTTGATGATTCTCTAATATTGCAGCTTCATTTTCTGTTCCTAACCTGATTACTGATGCTAGTAACAAGATCATTCTGGATGGTACTAATTACCCTGATTGGAGGGAAGATATTGCCTTGCAGTTTGGTTGCTATAACATGGACTTTGTCTTGGAGACTGAAAGGCCTCCCAAACCAGCTGATGACTCGGCTGATAAGGATTACTATGAACATTGGGAGAAAACCAACCGCCTTGCTCTCCTGATCATTAAAACAAGGATTGCAAGGGGTATTTGGGGAGCAATCCCTAAATGCGAAACTAGTAAAGAATACGTGGAAGCTGTCGATAAACAGTTTAAACTGACAGATAAGTAGATGGGAAGTACCATCATGTTAGAGCTATGTGCTATGAAGCTCACAGGTATTAGTGGAATCAGGCAGCATATTATGAAAATGAGAGATCTATCCTCTCAACTGAAAACCTTTGAGATGGAACCAATTGAGCAATTTTTGGTGCAATTAATTCTGAACTCCCTTCCTGCACAATTTGATGCCTTTAAGGTGTCTTACAACACACATAAGGAAAAATGGTCAGTAGATGAACTACTGTCTATGTGTGTGCAAGAAAAAACTAGGCTGTTGATGAGTGGAAAGGGTGCATCAAAAGAAGCTCATCTGGGAGAAAGTTCCAATAAGGGTGGCAATAGGAAGGGAAATAAGGATGATAAGAAGAAGAAGAAGAAGAAGAAGAAGAAAAGAATCCCTCCTGCTACTGCCTCAAATAAGAAGGATGCCAGATGCTTCTTTTGCAAGAAGAAGGGCATATGAAGAATGAGTGCTCCAAGAAGAAGGCATGACTTGAACGTAAAGGTATGTTTACTTCTCATGTTACTTTAGAATCTCATGCTATTAATGTTGATGATGACACATGGTGGATTGATACTGGTTCAATGATCCACATTTCCACAACCATGCAAGGCTTCTTAACAAGCAGGCCACCACGTCCGAGTGAGGAATGGGTTCTATTAGGCAGCAGGAATCCAGACCGTGTGGAGTTGGTTGGGACTTATCGTATTTTTTTAATAATACTCATGTAGACCTTTTTGAGACTTTTTATATTTTGACTTACATGAGGAACTTAATTTCCATTTTAAAATTAATTTCGTTAAATTATGATTTGTATCTTGAAAAGGGCTCTATGTTTTTGAGCAGACATCATGTTAAGATTGCAGACATTGCAATGATTGGTGATTTATTTAAAATAATTCGTGATCCTGTTCAATCTTTTACTATTTAACGTGGTATTAAATGTAGTGTCATCAATGAGAATTCTATTAGCTTGTGGCATAGGAGATTGGGACATATCTTCATTGAGAGAATCAAAAGGTTAACTAAGGAGGAAATTCTTCCACCTTTACACCATTCAGAATTTGATTCTTGTGTGGACTGCATAAGGGGAAAGCAGACCAACAAGTCATAAAAGGGAGCTAAAAGAAGTTCTAAATTGCTTGAGATTATATATACCGATATTTGTTGCCCTAATTTAACCACACACGGTCAAAAGTATTTTATTACCTTTACTGACGATTACTCGCGATATATGTGTGTCTACTTGCTTTATAATAAAAGTGAGGCACTAGATGCCTTTAAGGAATACAAAGTAGAAGTAGAAAAACAAATTGGAAAACCAATTAAAATTGTGAGGTCTGATAGAGGTGGTGAATACTATGGTAGGTACACAAATGAAGGACAAGCACCTAGTCCATTTGCAGACTTTCTTCGAGAGCAGGGTATAGTTGCTCAATATACCATGCCTGGCTCACCAGATATGAATGGTGTAACTGAAAGAAGAAATAGGACCTCACTGGACATGGTTAGGAGCATGATGAGTAGCTCCAAACTTCCAATTTTATTGTGGAAAGAAGCACTCAAGACAGCTGTATACATATTAAACAGGGTTCCAACAAAGGCAGTACCTAAAACTCCCTTTGAAATCTGGAAAGGTTAGAAACCCAGTTTAAATCATTTGAAAGTATGGGGCTGTCATGCAGAAGTAAGAGTGTATAACCACAAGAAAAGAAATTGGACCTAAGGACTATAAGAGCTTACTTTGTAGTAAATAAATGAAATTAAATCCCAGTAAATAAATGCAAGTGACCTAAACTATAAAAAGGGATTTTTGATTTTGAAAAACTGTTAATTAAATACTACGAATCAAATTGAAATTAAAATACTTTCTTTTGTTTTTATATAAAAGTGATTAAAATGAATGAAGATTAAAGAAATGAAAATGAGACACACAAGTAACAATGATAATAATCAATCCTCCAATTCAACAACGCAGGCAATCCTCACTTCAAAAGATACGGGAGTTAAAACAATGAATTAAGAATTATAATCAAGCTTTTAATCCAACAACCAAGCCACAAAATATTTTCCCAAAATCCTAATTTACTAACTGCAACCAGAATAGTAAAATAGAATTAAGGATGTTAAAAACCAATGCTTAATTAAAATTCTTAAATCCAAAATAATAGAATTAAAGCTAGCAAGAGACAATATGATCCAAGATTCCAAGCCACCTCAGAAAATCACAATATATTAACTCCAAAATCAATACAAATGTCATAACCACAACATCATAATTGAAATCAAAGCTATAAACAACCCAATGTCAAATGTTAAACAATAATCCAGCCATAAAAATCTCCACAGATAATCAGATTTAACAATACAAAATTTTCTAATAATCAGAATAACTATCCTAAGACCTAGGAATTGTTAAACAATTATTAGACAGGAAATTAAAGCAACTAAAACTCCCCTTTGATGATCCAAGCTCCTGCCATTATTGTTGAATTAGAGAATTGTGAAGCTAGCCACGGTTTGCCATGAAAAATGCCACCTCCAGCAATCTACCATATCCAGCCATGAAGAATATTAAAGGAAGAGTGAAGAAAACCGTCGAGCTTCTCTGGTTCTGTCACTCTGTTCTGCTCGCTGTTGCGCCTCACTCTGTTTTTTTAGGTCTTCTCCTCGCCGCCCAGCTCGCGTTCCGTCTCCGCCAAGATGAAGAAGAGGATTGAATTATTAGATATTAGGGGTGGAGCAAAACGCAGCGTTTTGTCCCCCCTTTTATTATTTTATTATTTTTCTTTTTTTTCATTTATTTTTTTTTTTTCTTTTTATTTATTTTCAAAATCTTTCAAAAATCTGGAAGCAAAAATTCAAAGATAAGGTAGCATTAATTGTCCTAAAAAAATCAATTAGTCACAATTAAACCAAAATATGACAATTTTGCCCCTATAAAATAATAATTCAAAATAAAACAGATTAAATCAATTAATCAATCAATTAAGGTCAAAAGGGACTAATTAAGTTGACAAAACCCATATAAAAGATATCAAAATATATAAAAATAATTGAGTTTGTCAACTCCCCCACACTTAGCCTTTTGCACTCCTGGGCAAAATATCATTAAAGAAGAATCCAATAGAGACACTCAATGCAAGCAAACATAAAACTAACTAAGCATGAATGTGCAATTAACTCAAGCAACCTTTATTCTTAATTAATCAACAATCATAGAATACTTCAGTGCAAAGAAATTAACACAAGAAACATAACAGGATAAAAGAAGAGAAACATAATAGAGCTCACATATGGTACAAGTGTTTCACTCATCTCTCAAATGGGAAAAATTTCACTCAATCCACCTAGATTAGCACCTACTATAAGCTTGTAGAAATTCTAATATCTCCACCACTAACATACCTTAGACTCATGATCAAGGGGACTTAAAGGGTTGTAATGTTGGAAAGCAAGGTCAAATGAATGAAATGAACTAGCAACTGAAATGCATGAGTAATAAAATATCAACTCAAAGTGAGCTTAAGTACAATCATAAAAGAACACCAAAGTACATATTTGAAACTTTTGAAACAGAAATCCTTGCTCTTCAAACACCATTGAATGCCTTATTCAAATTTATTCTTTTGTTGCAACTTATTTTATTTTTCTATATTTTTTATAACTTTCTTTCTTTGGCTTTTTCTAAACATTTTCTTTTTTATTGCCTTTTCTATTTCTTTTTCTTCTTCTTTTTTTTTTTGCTTTTTTTTTTGGCATCCAAACCCAAGAAGGCAAAGATATAGACATTAATGATGTACCTTTCAAAATGAAAAACCAAATGTAACTCATGCAAAACATTTGCTAAAAAGTAGTGAATGGAATGAAAGTGAAGGCTCAAAGGCGTGAACAAAGGTTAAATAAAGTGGTTTGTGTTTGGGTAAAGGTCTAGAAATGAATGCCCCTATCATCTTCACAAATCTAGGTATTAATGCAACTTTGAAAAAGAATCTAGACAAGTTCTAGAAGTTAACCAAAACTAGATAAAAATCACACAAGATGAGAAAATATATGGCTTAACAATCCTTCCATCAAGGCTTTCTCCAAGATGTTTCCTCCTTAAGGATCAAGCTATGAAACAAGGTTAATAACACTGCACTAAAGGCATTCTACTATGCTAATCAACTTAGAACAGAAATTACTCAATTCAAGTGCAATCAAACTCAGCCGTGCAATATTCACAAGCATTGTGCAAAAGGATTTTAAAGAGATGCCCAAGGATTACAAAAGTAAAATTCAGCAATAGAGAAAACAGCAACTCGCCCATACAGCAGTGCAGAACACTGAGACGAATGAAAACAGGAGGACATAGAAACCAGCAACAAAATTCCAAGCAAGAATCACTCTCAAATCATGCGATGCAATTCAGAAATCAACCAATAAAAAAGAAGAGAGCAATTATAGCAGCAATACTTAGAAAACAGGATCAAATCCAAAGGCAAATTTTTTTTTTTTTTGTTTGAAAACAAATCCTAACAAAACATAACACTCACTCCCCCACACTTAATCCTTGCATTGTCCTCAATGCAAGCTTAGACTAAAGATATGAATAATTGGAAGCTCAAAATGTGCAAGGACAAGGTAGGGAAAGTACTAAATGCAACTAATAACAAACAATAAAACAAAACATAAACACCTTTTTACTATTGGCTATGTCCCTCCCCCATACTTATCTCACAAAACAAGCAAGTAATTCAAAAGATAAGAGTTAAGGAAGGAAAGGGACAACCTTTAGAACAAAATCTCTTCAAACTCTTGTAGGAGAAGTTCTCATCCCGGATGAGAAACATATATCTCTTTAGTGTGCTCACTTCTCCATTGACATTTCTTGGTGGTGAGAGTTCCTGCAAGGGAAACATTGAACAAGCAGCAGTATCTAGTCCAAAAAAAAAAACTTGGAAAGATCTAAAGTAGCATAGGTATATCTGAGTGACAAAATCTTCCAAGTAAATATCACACCCAAGAAAGTCAATAGGATTCCTTTCTATATGAATCAAATAATCAGGAATATTTTCAAAAATGTCTTGTGTATGCAAAGCGGAAGATGAAGAATCCAACTGACAATTGTTGGAGTACATCACATCACTTTTACTAACACAAGAGGTGGGTGAAAAAAGAGTGGAAGAAGAAGAAGCTTCATGCAGAATATGATTATGCAATGCAATATTATTATTTACATAGCTACTTAAATCAGGAGACAAGTCACAAGAAAGAATTAGATGAAAAGATTCATTCTTATTTACAATTTTGTCTTTCAAAATTTTTGAATATTTCCATACTAACTCATTAGAAGCATACAACTCAATGGGATTTTCAGAAAGATAATTTCCAAGGCTATGGTCAAATTCACCTTTCTCCACAGCATTAACATCCAAGCAACTCACATCAATATCATGTTTTATATTGTCAGCACTTTTAGT